CAGGCTGGATTCGAACCCACCACCTTAGGTGTATGTGGCTGGCGCCTTAGCTGCTTGAGCCACAGGCGCCGAGCCCAGTTTCAGTCTTCTATAGGTAACCAGCCAGTTTACCCAGCACCATTTGTTAAATAGGGAGTCTTTCCCCCACCAAATATTTTTGATAGGCTTGTTGAAGATCAAATGATGATAAGTAGTTGAGTTCATCTCTTGGTTCTCTATTCTGTTCCATAAATCTACCTCTCTATTTTTGAGCCAGTACCATACTGTTTTGATCACTATAGATTTATAGTATAGCCTGAAGACTGGTAATGTGATACCTCCTGATTTGTTCTTATTTCTGAGTAACATATGTGCTATTTGAGGTTTTTTCTGATTCCATATAAAACGAAGTACTATTTTTTCAAATTCTTTAAAGTATGACAATGGTGCTTTAATAGGGATTGCATTAACTCTGTAGATTGCTTTGGTTAGTAAGGACATTTTAACATTGTTGATTCTTCCCAGCCATGAGCACGGTATGTTTTTCCATTTGTTAACAATCTTCAGCTATTTCTTTTCTCAGAGTTTCATCGTTCTCTTTATTGAGATCTTTCACATCCTTTGTTAGGTAAATTTCCATCTTCTTTGGTACTATAGTAAAAGGAATAGAGTCCTTGACTGTTTTTTCAGTTTAACTATTGTTGGCATATATAAAAGCTACTGACTTGTAAGTATTGATTTTGTATCCTGAGATGCTGCTGTATTCCTTGATCACGTCTAAGAGTTTTGAACTTGAGTCCTTGGGTGAGAGTTTGATCTCCTCTGACCCTATTTGGATACCGTTGATCACCTTCTCTTGCCTGATTGTGATGGCTAAGACTTCCATTAGTATGTTGAATAGCATGAAGACAGTGGGCATCCTTGCCTCGCTCCTGATCTGAGTGGAAATGTTTTCAATTTTACACCATTTAATATGAAATTGGCTGTGGGTTTGCTGTAGATGGCCTCTATTAGTTTAAGAAATGTCCCTTCTATGCCTGTTTTCTTAAGTGTTCTGATCATGAAAGGATGTTGGATATTATCAAAGGCTTTTTCTGCATCAATTGAGAGAATCATACGCTCTTCGTTTTTTATTTTATTGATATGATGTATTATATTTATAAATTTGTGTATGTTGAGCCAACCCTGTAATCCACCTTGATCATGGTGTATAATTTTTTGGATGTGTTGTTGAATCCTGTTTGCTAAGATCTTATTGAATATTTTTGCATTGATATTTATTAATGATATTGGTCTATAATTTTCTTTGTTGGATCCTTTCCTGATTTGGGTATCAGGGTGATATTTGCTTCATAGAATGTGTTGGGATGTATTCCTTCTTTTTCTATGCTTTGGAAAGGGTTGTATAATATAGGTACTGGTTCCTCTTGAAAGGTTTGATAGAATTCAGATGTGAAACCATCTGGTCCCAGACTTTTTGGGAGATTTCGTATTGTTGATGCTATTTCAGTGATTGATACAGGTCTATTCAAGATTTCTAATTCTTTCTGGTTGAGTCTAGGAAGGTGGCATACTTCCAGGTATTGGTCCATTTCCTTCAGATTTTCATATTTCTGAGAATAGAGATCTTTTTAGTAATCATTGAAGATTTTTTTTAATTTCTGAAGTGTCTATTGCTATTTCTCCTTTATCGTTTCTGATAGACAATATTAGAGATTTTACTTTTCTATTTCTGGTTAGGTTGGCCAAAAGTTTATCAATTTTATTAATCTTTTATCCATTAGCAGACCCTAATCTTTTCAAAAAGCCAACTTTTTATTTTGTTGATCTTCTGAATGATTTTGTTTATCATTTTATTTAATTCTGCCCTAATTTTGGTTATTTCTTTTCTTCTGCTGGGCTTGGAGTTGGAATGTTCTTCCTTTTCCAGTTGCTTGAGGTGATCTATTAAGTTGTTGGCTTCCTATCTTTCTGTTTTCTTGATGAAGGCTTACAATGCTATAAATTTCCCTCTTAGGACTGCCTTTGAAGTATCCCACAGGTTTTGATAATTTGTGTCTTCATTATCATTTTGTTCTAAAAATTTTGTGACTTCCTTCTTAATCTCATCTCATTTAGCCTAAGATTATTTAGTTTCCATGACTTTGTTTGAGTATGAGGATTCCTGTTGCTGTTGAGTTCAACTTTATTCCACGGTAGTCTGAGAAGATACAAGGAATAATTTCTATACTTTTAAATTTGCCAAGGTTAGACTTGTGTCCTAGGATATGATCTATTTTGGAGGATG